AAAAGACGAACAAAAATGTATTAATAAAAATAAAAGGATTTGTTCTGTAAAATTTGGATTCAGTCAAAAGGCTGCACATGTTGTCTTACAGCCGCAGGTTCCCCACTCCTGACCTCATACTTCTTTAGAAAGAATTACTAAGAAAAGTGATCCAAAACCTGGAAATAAGGCAGAGAGTGGCTGCATGTCCTTTAGGTGTCATTTTACAGCAATGTCAAACAAGCCTGCCTAAGAGTCATCTGACTTTCTAGAGCAGTGATGCTCAAGTGTGATCCCCATATAGTAGAATCAGCACCAGCGTCAACTGGAAATTTAGAAATGCAAGTTCATAGGCCCCACTCCAGACCAACAAAGTCAGAAGCTCTGTGGATGGGGTCCAGTAATCTGTGCTTTAACAAACCTCCAGGTGACTGTGATGCATGGGCAGTGGTCCTCAGCCAGGGGCAATTTTGCCACCTAGGGAATATTTGGAAATGTCTAAAGACATTTTGGGTTATCACAATTTACGGTGGGGGCGGGAGTGCTACTGGTATGTAGTAAGCAGAAGCCAGGCATGCTGTTAAGTACCCTACAATGCGCAAGACAGCTCCCCACTTCCCAGCAAAGAATTATCTGGCCCCAAATGTCAGTAGTAACGAGGTATAGGAACCCTCCATAAGGGAATATAATTTTGTTTGATTTACTACAGATTAGGGCTCAGTTGCTAATTTGAAGAAAATTGCTAAAATGCAAATGATTTTTATCTGGTAGAGATACAAATAATTGCTGTCCAGTGGAGAAGAAACCCCCAAAGGTCATGGTTTAATTGCTCTGTAGGATATTGTATTCATTGCCTAGTGTGTAGCAAAATACCCTAAAACTTAGTAGCTTAAAGCAACAATAAGCATTTATTATTATAGTTTCCGTGAATCAGGAATTCATTAAGTAGCTTTAATTCTTGGAGAAATTATTGGAGAAACAGTTTTCATATGCTTTGCAGCAGTTTGTTTTCTGGTCCGAAGTCTTTTGATGTTTGTTTAAGTGTCTTTTTTCCTTTAGTATCTCCTGGGTTTTTTGTTTTAACTGTTTTAATTTTGTGCTTTCATCCAAAATTTGTGAGGAAGGAGCCGGGATAGTGTTCATGACAGGTAAAATTTTTCTTATGATCCTAGGTTTTGAGTGGGAGCTCAGTTAGCTTTTACATCTTGGTGGGGACTGGCAACTATGGGTTTATTATTATTATTATTATTTCATCATAAAGACTCTGTAGCACTCTGCTGTCATAAGACAGATTGCTTTTTGCAAATATTTTTTGTCAGTGTGCCCCGGCTCTTCTGCTTCTCAGAACCAAAGTAGGTCTAGGAAGCGCCTGCCACCAGCTGATATAACGCTGTTTCTTCTGTTATAA